TAATTAATGCATATAACATTTCCATACAGACTAACTGTGAAACATTTTGGTCACTCATATTATTAAAGCTTTTACAGATATATGTTTAACCTATTCTAATTTGCTGAGGCATCTATAAACATATTTTTGATTTGTTTACTACCAGCAATATGTAATATGCAATATGTCAAACCTTGCTCAAATACAGACTTCTTTAAAATGTCATTCATGTTAAATGAACACCACATACACACTACACACAATATTAACTTTAAATGATCTGTATATACCAGAATTGAATGCTCGATGTCTTTATTAATTTATATATTACAACATACAACAATGTACTGAGCATGTTTGTCTCAAATCGTCTGCAGGCACGAAATGGATCCAAAGATGTGATAGATTTTTCCACCTCACTTGTTTGGATGGAGGCAAAAGACATGTGTGATCCTGAGACCCTCAAAAATAATTCAGAGGTAAGCGAGAAAACCAACAATGCACACGAGAAATATCACATTGATACAACATAAAACAATGAGCTACTGATTGTGATGTGCTTTATCTTTTTCTCTCTCCTTCCACAGACATGTTCAGGGAAGATACTCAGTGTTCTAGCAAGCTACATCTCTGCAGTGGAGAGGGTTGCTGGATTTCAAAGCTGCTCAGAGTTTGCCAGCAAAGTAATGCCAGCGATGGACAAACTATACAATGACATCAGGAAATGTGTGAAGTCGAGGGCAGAGATAAATCACCAGAAGGTAAGCACAGTCGACTGAAGTAAATACTCCAAAAAGGTCCAACAGCCTCAGAAGTATGGGCAGGATTTATTACAGCATTACGCTTTATGGCTCATGGCTTAGATACAATAAAAAGTAAAAAATTAAAAGTTAGATAGATAAAAGTTAAATGGTTTTTATTTTCAAATTTTACAGGAGACTCACACCATTGATCGCTGGGAGGAAGCTCTGCTGTGCCACTACACCATGGACAGACTCTTCTCCTTCTCTATCCTTACCGCTCGTGTCTTTGCTGTTGGGGATCCGGCTCATCACACAGAGGGTTCAGCTCAGAAATGCATGTAGGGCATGAAATGTTGCAGCATTCAATGACACACAGCTATGAATTGTACAAGCATTCTTTACTTGATCACATTGATCAAAGTCTCTAGGACAGCCTTCAGGGGCTGATGATGTATCTACAACAGTGTTGCCACTCTTGTTCCTCCCATGTACATATGGAATGTATTTCCCATGGAATTGTTATCTAACATATTTATTCAAATCATATTTATTGTATTTATTTATACATATTTATTGAAATCAGATTGTGTTCATCTCTATGTCCCTTTTTCTTACTGCATAATAAACAATATGATTTTCATCATCATATAATGATGTCATAGTATTTATTTTACAGTGATTCTTCCTTCTACACCAAACAAGCATGACAAATTATTTCTCACTAAGGACAGTTAGGAAGTTTCCTGCACTGACAATTAATCCTTTCTTTGAATGAATTCCCAAAACAACATCCAAACAAATACTAGATAACAAGGAAGCTGTGCTTTCCTAAAAGATTCCTGCTGCTCTTCGGAGATCCACAACTTCCTGCATACTTCCTCCCAGTCAGTGTGTCTATTATGGCAGCACTCTGATGATGCAATGTTAATCCGGCAGTAATTCAAAGCAAAAAAGGAAGATGTCACGTTTAAAGGGGAAGAGGAAGGACAGCAGCAGTGAGCTCAGTGTAAAGGTACAGAATTGCTTAACAAGGAAGTTTGTTCTCTGAGTGACTTAATATCTAAAATTCATTCAACTTCTCTCAAATACAAAGAGCTTTATTTGAGAGAAGTTGAATGAAAAAACACAGTAATCCTGTCTTTGAAGGTAAAAACTCCAAAAGCTTACTGTACATACGCCATGGCCATCAGAGCAAAAGAGCAAACATTTATTTAGCAATTAAAGGTACGACAATAATGTGGTCAAATTAGATGCACAAACAAAAGGAAATAAATGCACATAAAAATGGAACACTGCAGCTTTGAAAGTACAAGATATATACTAAAGTATAAGCATATATGTGAGGCTGTGATGCTCATTGTAAAGAAAAACAAAATGATAAAATGTTGACTGCCTACATTTGTTTTTGAGCTTTAGCAATTGTGGTGGAGTAAATGTAGTAATTAACCAGAGAGTAATGTCTGAATAAAGATCTTTGGCAACCTGTATGAGAAGGGTTTATTACGTTGTGAGCAATAAGGTCAACATGTTAATCCCTTGTGAGATTTTATGACATCATATATAGTGTTGCATGAGCAACAATGTGTAAAAAAAACAGATAATTTAAATATGAACTGATTTTTATATGAAAAGAAACTGGTTGTAATTTGTGTACAGTTAAAAATCATCAGTGTTTCCATCAATGCAAAGTAGCACTAAACACAAGCTGAGGCTGATGGGCATCACATTCATTTTGAAGAGATTTGGTTATAAACCAAAATATTGGATAACTTGCCAACTGATGGCTCTAGATGAAAAGTCAGTGGTCACCTAAGGATTCGTCCCATGGGGATGCTGTTTGATTAAAAAATTAAGCTTGACAGTTCATTCTTAATAAATATGTAGGCTTCTATATAAGTATAAAATGTCCATATTAAAATGTGGTCAGATAAATGACTGACTAGGCAAGTTAAAGTTCCTCAGGACGTCCCGCACATGTAATAAACGGGTCATGTGAATTTGACCTAACTTCCTTATTTCATTTCTGTCCAACACAGCGATCTCCCCTTGCGGTAACAGCTTGTTTTTGTTTTCATTCATCACACGCATTAATCACTTACCCTGTCCAATATATTCCTCCACATTATGTTACCCTCACCATATATCAAAAGTCATGTCATGTCTTACATTTCCCTACTTGAGTTTACTGTTCCCTGCAAGAATCACTGCTGTTTAGTTGGAGAAGTATGAGCTGCTTGCTGTAAGGTGATCAAAAGAGTTTGTAGGCTTTTACTGTTTACTGTATTTCAAGTTTTACACCAGTCCTTAGGGATGAGTTTGCTCAAAGGCAACCAGCATAATGTTGTTTGTGAGCTCCGCAATGATAATATCTACATATATATCTACATATGATAATCTATCTATCTACCTATCTACCTATCTATATATATATATATATATATATATATATATATAGAGAGAGAGAGAGAGAGAGAGAGAGAGAGAGAGAGAGAGAGAGAGAGAGAGAGAGAGAGAGAGATTTTTAAAACTTTATGGTTATAAATTTTAAAAATCTTTTGCATGTCTCACTTCGTCCACATTGGTTCTCTCCGGGTGCTTCGGCTTCCTCCCACCATCCAAAGACATGCAGGCACATACAGTACAGTTCTGTTATTTTATTCACTCTGTGGGCAAGGGGGCTGTAACCTACAGACACACAAAACTTCAGTCAACACTGTGCTTGACGGTACACTTTCAAAGCACACATGACTGGCCTTACCAATAGGGTATTGGTAATATAGATGATACAAATCCTTTTAGATAATAACAATACAGAATGGCAATAATAAGGAGGGTGCTCCGGTTAGCCTACCTCAAAAGGCAAGATTGGTCAATGCCATGAATAACAGGCCTGATCTACACACTCAAAACAAGTAACTATGAGTTTACACCACAGGAACAGAAGCAGCAACTACGTTCAAGATCACAAACTATTGACCTATATGCTTTCAAAACTTTTTCTTACAGAATCAATAAGGAGTTTTTGCTCTGACATTTTAAGTGGCAGAAATATTCACTGTGGGAAAAAGGCTAATACATTATAATAAAGTTACACTGCACAGACACAGCTTTGAACAAACAGTTAGCTTATAGTCTGTTATCGCCTTCTCCTACAGTGGCCTTTCCATGAGGTTCGTGGAGATGAAGGACTAGATCAATGAATAAAGCCATTGTCCAAAATAAATATGTTTGCATGTGTGAGAGAGAGGTCAGTCTTTTCTGGGTCATTGTGCTGCTGATTTTGGAATAACAAGATTTCCTAATTCCCTTTGCTAGCTAATGCTATCTAATGAGGTGGTGATGGGGCAGTGAATAAGACAGGTGCCTTTGGTGTGGGGGTTTGTTTCCCACTGCAACATATCCACCAATGTGTACCTGAGCAAGATACTTAACCTCTAGTTGCTAAAAATGAGTATCAATATCAATATCAGTTTTATTTATATAGCACACATAAAACAACCAACATTGACCAAGGTGCTTTACAAGGCAAAAATACAACAATAAAACAGTGTAAATGTTGCTGTGTGTTCATGTATCAGAATCTTTGCGGACATGAACAGAGGCACAGATTGCTGTGTGTCCAGTGATTATTAGCAACTTGTTTCAGTGATACCGCACTATAATTCATTGATCAATAATCAATAATACCTCTTCTTTTTATTCTATTTCAAAATAAGAATTACATGTGATTTGTGTGTCTTATTTTAAATGGCAAATTATATATTGTTATACATTTAATTTAAAGACATATTAGGTCTATTTATCTTTTCAACAATTTTATATGACTTCCATTAATCTCTTTTTGCAAAGAAATAAGTTTGAATTTAACCATAATTTTCCAAGTTAAAATAATTCCAGCACCTCTTTCTTCACTTATGTTGTAATCTACCCCACACCTCAAGAGTGAAAGACAAAAATTACAAACTGGGCAGGAGGCTACAGAATATTAGGTAGGCAGTACTCCAAAAAGCACAGCTACCCAATTAATAAATGATTAATATGATGATTTATCTGGCATTTTGTTGTTGTTGGGTCGAGGAGCTCAGGTGATATATCTTTATAGCTATGGGGATTATACGGGAATTAACAGTGATATTAAACTTTTGCTCATATGCACTTGGGGGATCCAGGGACTTTCTTGGAGGACATTTGCTCTTTGCTACATCTTAAACAACACTTCACCACACCTGTTTACCTGCGGACAGGAGGACACAGGCTGGAGTTTTGACAGATGTCCGCCGCAGTAGAGGAAGCAGCCCAAACCTAAAGAGGGCGGGGTTAAAGGACATAAAAAAATAAGGAATTTCCTGGTGAGCTACGACAACACAGGAAGGTAAAGTTTGCTCCGTTGAAATGTAAAGTTTTAAACCTCGAAATGCCGCATGGGCGAGGCTAATTAATCACAATTTAACAGAAGCGTGTAACCCCCGCAATTTTACCGCGTATTCTGCAACCGTTACATCCTGATTAACGTAACTTTGAACTAACGTTAGCATGTTAACCTGTAGATAGCAGCTCAACTGTTAGCTAGCTGGCGAACGTTTAATGTGAACTAACGTCAACTGTGAAGCTCAAGTTAAACAAATGGACATTGTGTGATAGTTACTGTCATGTTCTTGTAAACAATTTTACATTTTAACGATATTGCTACTTCATCATAGATGTTTTTGCTCCGGATAACGTTAGTGTGTGGATGTTGCGGCTAGATGTAACAGCTGAGCGATGCAGGGAGTCCTGAGAGAGGAAGCGCATGTTCTGTCACCCAGAACAATTCAGACGGGCGGAGTCTTTTTCTCTTCTTTTTGTTATAAAGATGCGGGTTGTTTATTTCTTTCGATTCATCGTGTATACTATTCTATTTCAGTTTGGTTCAGTTTTGTTTATTCACAAAACATAAGAAAATACAAGTACAATCATAAGAAATAATTCACATTTGTGAAAAGAGACACCCTGGTAACCCATCTGAAGATCGTGTGTAACTGTTAGAGGCCCAAACACTAAGCAAATAGTAGACATATGTTTGAAGTACATTATTGAACATATTGTCTAAATAAATAAAGCACATGCAATCTACAGTATAATTTCTAACCTACAGACAGAAAACCCTAAGAGCTAAACTACCCTATTCCTACTAACCAGTGGTCCCAAGAAATTCATTATTCATTAGAATTCATTATATATCACATCTCAGCCCTACAAATTAATGTGACCGTTATCATTTAAACAAGAAATGACATATAACACTGAAAGAACAAACCTGAAGTTGAACTGCAATGTGATGATTGTAACTATTGTAAATTTTGCACTACCACATCTGTATTGTTTGGTGATTGTAGAAACAGATTTATGCGATGTTGATTGGTTGAAATTTCTGTAGATCAACCTCATCACTACCAACAGTATTACTATGTGTCTAAGGTTCTCAAGGCTCTAAGATTTTGCCTGCTTGCTAACATCATGTTTGAGAAGCTGAATATTTAGAGTCATGGGGGATCAAAAGGTCTGTGGGTGCCTCTTCTTACATTTTGTCTCTCTGTGTTCAAGATGAATGTGGGCGTAGCTCACAGTGAGGTGAACCCCAACACGAGGGTGATGAACAGCAGAGGAATATGGCTCACCTATCTGCTGCTGACCGTCGTGTTGCACATCGTCTTGCTCAGCATTCCTTTCTTCACTGTGCCGCTCGTCTGGACTCTTACCAATGTCATCCACAACCTGGTCAGCTAAAATGATCCTCTATAATATATCCAGGTGTATTAGACCATTGTGTGCAACTTTAAAAAGCAATGAGCAGGACTGCCTTATGTTAAAAGAGTAGTTGGACATTTTGTTTGCTTTCTTCCAAGAGTTGGATGACAAGATTGATACACTTTCAGAAAATCTACTATATCATATTGATATCATGATATTAAGATTACATATACTGTGAATGATTTTTCCATATAGCCCACCCCTATTTTTTTTTAATCCAAAATATGTAATATATGAAATTATCATCATTGCAGTCCTGTTTAACCTAAATTGATTGTCACGTTACATTTCCCATTCCCTGTGAAAATGACCAACTCTGCTGATCAGCACAGAGCACTACTTTCTACTCTCTCTACCTCTTGGAAAACTTAAAAAAGCCAAATTAAGAGAAGATTAACATGTTGTTATTATTATAGTATGTTGTATTAAACTGGGTTCATGAGTCACCCTGTAGTAAAATTCTGTGAAATGCTCTGTTAAAAACTAAAAACTTTGAATTGCTGAATTGCTTTCAGATTCGTTTATAATATGTGTCAGGCCTGCACATAAATATGGCTTGCTTAAAGTTGTTGATAATGACTTTTACTTCTTCAAAAGTATTAACTGGAAGGAAATCACTTTTGGTAGTTAATAGCAGTTGTTTATCTCTTCTGTGTGGTTTGTCCTCTGCAGGTGATGTACCTGTTTCTACACACAGTGAAGGGCACTCCCTTTGAGACACCAGACCAAGGCAAAGCTCGTCTGCTCACACACTGGGAACAGATGGACTATGGTGTCCAGTTCACATCTTCACGCAAATTCCTCACTATCTCACCAATTGTTCTGTAAGTACATTTGCAGTTTGTAATGAAATGTGATCTGCACTGCTGGACAGTTTGCAGCTTCTCTTTCACTTTCATGGCTAAATCAGCATGTAGTCAAATATATGAGGAATTACTTGCAATGGGTCAGTGTTTGACACACTGCTTCCGGTTGTTGGGAATATTCTCACCTTCTTTTTAGATCATCTGGGAACACTTAGCAAATTGATCTGTCGAGATTTCCGTCCTCACTCAGCTCGAATGCAGTTTACAGTGAGAACAGTGGCAGATTTACCTCTAGAAAGACTTTCTTTCCAAACAGTGAGTCCTTGATTTCAGACAAAAGTCGGCTTGTCATTTCTAGCCAGCAACCACTGATTTTGTCTGAAAAATATCTCACCATCTACTAGATTGATTGAAACTAAATCTTGAACCACTATTTATGGTTCCGGGACGATGCATCTTTATGGCTTTTGGGATCCCCTAACTTTTTTCTAGCACTTTTTCAATTCATCCAGTGCTTTGATTTTTGACCAAATACCTACGTATGACAGTCCCATAAGCCTCACTGTACTTTGCGTTTTGTGCTAATTAAGAAATGTCTGTATGCTAACATGCTAAACTAAGATGATATTAAACATCAGCATGTTAACATTGGTTGTATTTGGAACCGCCTACTACATATTACTGGTGACCGCAGTATGTAGTACATACTGTTAAATCTATTTATTTTGTAGTATGGTAGGCCAGGCTTAGCCGGTTTCTGGTTTTGGAAAGTGGCTGTAAACAATATTATAAAACATTTTTTTCAGATTTAATCTTATGTAAGGAGAACAAGGCTGCAGCCGATCTGTAACAAACGTACTACCCATCACAAAGCCATAATGCTTATTAAGCCTGCTAAGCTAACGTTTGATATCAAGAAGATATCATTAACCTTTGCAAAATGTCAGTAAGAAAACTACACAACATAACTTAAATCTAACATTGAGTAGTATTTTTTTGTTATCAGGGACAGAGCAGTTACATTGTTCCTTGTTCACTTCTGACAAGGTTTTCAACAATGACTGTTTGTTTAGACTGCCTGATTAAATAAAGATTACATTTTTTTAAAAGTCCGGTTGTTGTGACCGTTCTAGAGCTTTGCATTGTGGGACACAATACACGAGGTAGACTGGTCCGATGCATCCTGGGGATTCTTTCTGAACCAGTATGACATCCGGGTATTTTCGGTATCCTGCAGATTTTGCTTTTGGTTTGCATACTACATACTACATTTCAGTACATTCTGCTAGTGTAGTAGGCGGTTTTGAATACAGCCATTGTTACTGAGCTCATGTTGCCATGCTAGGGTTAGCATTACGTACAGCCTCACAGGGCCACTAGCATAGTGTAGACTCTTCTTTTTGTTGCAATACCATTGATTCTGTCTTACATTGTTAAACTCCTGAGTGAAACAAGTATGCCAGTTAATTATAGAAATAATTCACTGTCTGCACATCCTTCGTTGTGTCTTAACCTTAAGAGACTCATTTAATCTGTAGACTTTTCACTGAAGACATAATTCCAGACAGAGGGCTTTCCTCATCACCTTATGTTCCAGCTACAGTCGATTCCAGTGCACCACCAGAGCACCTGAGTACACAATCACTCTCAACCATGAAACGCTTGAGGTTTAAAGCTTGTATGCACGTAAATGTTCCCTGTGGAGTGTTTGACCTCTAGTAATGCTATGAAACAATTTGAGTGGTTCCCCGTTTCGTTTCTCATGCATACACAAGGAAGCAAATGTGCGCTATGTACATGCAGGTGCAAGGATACATGATTTCATGCTGTTTCAGTGACCTACATGTGCTTGCTAGTAAACATGGGTGTAAAAAATGCAGGTTACAAAAATCAGTTTTGTGAGTGTGTTCGAAGGAAGGAAATACATAAATCACGTTTGTTAGACCTCATGGAAACACAATGAATGTAAACATAACTTCTTTGTTTACAAGAAAACTCTACAGGGCACCTTTAATGGAACTTGATTAACATTACTTTTATTCTTAAAGACCTTCTACTTCTGTTCTTAAACTCAAAATCCAAAGATGTCATAGAATGACAACATGTGAGGTGTCGCTTGGTTAGTGGTTCAGTGTATTTTCCCTTTCATATTATTAATTGAAACTCTGTGTTTGTCATGTAGTCTGTTTTTGATGCATACATAAATGTGGATTGTGATGTGTTGATGCTACATTTACAGTATTCTTCTCTCTCTGCAGGTATATTCTTGCCAGTTTCTACACAAAATATGATCCCACACATTTCCTAATCAACACAAGCTCCCTCCTTAGTGTCCTCCTCCCAAAGTTGCCTCAGTTTCATGGAGTACGGATATTTGGGATCAACAAATACTGACAGAAGTGACTAAACACTGGACTTCTAGTTTTTCTGTTTCTGCTGAACTATTTTATGTTTAGAGGTTAAGGAGAAGAGAACCAGCTGGATGTGTCTTAAATGTACAGACTGTGTAGCATAATATGAAAGTTGCAGTTTGTGCTGTCTCTTGCAGTCTGTGGGGGAAAACATGCACTGCTGCGTGCATTAATTTTTTCCCCTTTACTGACATTCCCGATGCATGTTTGTCAAAAACCAGACGCTTTGCTCTTGACTTCAAGAAAGAGCAATTTGAACTGCACTGCTTTCAAATGTAATGTTTATTCATTATTTTTAAAACTTCACCCTCAGACCAAATTGCACTGCCTGCATTCCTGTTAAACTGTCTGGTTGTTGCCATAAATGTGAATGAATTCATCACAAATTCATTGTGGTTCATGTTCTGACAACACTTTTTACATTTTCTTTCATGCATTTTTACCTCGATTCACCATGAAGGATTTACATGCAGCATACATGTACACGCCCGTAATAAACACAGAAGTCTTTTTTTTGCTATGATACACATAATCATGTAATTTAACATTTCAAAAATTTTCCCGCTTATAAAATGAGCAGTGAGAGGCTACATGGTGTGCACACGTGGTTGTCTTTGTCATCTTTATTCCACATGGTTCTTGTGTGGAGGTTTGTAAGAATTAGTTGATCGATTGTGGGCTGGTTTGTAAGCTGGGGAACTCCAGACACTTTACATGACGCCACCATGGGAGGGCCTGTCACAGTGTTTGCAATATGCTCATATATCCAAGGGATTCCCCCCTTCCGCATGCAATGTGGTCGCTTTTGCATTGCAGTGAGGTTTCTCTTGTTTTAGGGAAGTAATTTTTAGGAAATGTGTTGAGTGTTGATTATGCCTACCTGAGCCTGGGAAACATGCAAATAAGGCTAGCTGTATCAGCTGTTTCATACATGTTGTGTAATCGAGTGTAATCATTTGCAAGTGTTACTGGGGTGTTCCCTGCCTTCAGATGCGGGGAGGACAGTCACATTAATGTAAAGAAGCCAGTGGTGGGATGCAGAGGACAGCTGGGCTAAATGTCATCAGATATGGCTCACTGGAACTTAAGAGTGGGAGAGAAGGGATGAATACACTGTTTTTTTTCTCCAACATATACTGAAAGCGAGCTGATTTTAAGATAACGCTATCTCACCTGAACAGCAACTTTAGTCATCAGCTGCAGTTTTCCCAGTTCTGCTTCCACTTTTAATTTAATGTGAACTCAGTAAACCTTGATGAGTGTTGCTAGATGCATGCCATATATTTAAAACCAGAAGGCACCCAGTGCACAGGACTCAGGAGGAGAGCGTGACGCATGCATTCATTACTTTGTTTTGACTTTTGAAACAAAGATTTACTAAAGGAGATGTAAGAGGTAAAGTGCAGATATGAGAAAGGTCAGAAATTTCTAGTTTGCTTCAGGTGGTAGAACTTCCCGAGACTTCGCAGGAAATAAATATTTTCACAGAAGATTTAAAAGACACAAATGACGGGAAAACAAAGATAAAACACTGTGGGGACCAGGGGGGGTTTTCAAAAGTAAACTACGGTTTCAGTTGGAATTATAGATAACCAAGGAAAAACAAAAGCATTCATAATGCTGACTTTGAGTGATTGATTTGGCAAATATGAAGATTCAAAATGTGTACAGTTAAATTGGTAGCTTCAGAGACACAGTTCAGCCCTCTGCGGTTTGTCAAGTGGAAATTCCACAGGTTTACGTTAATTTTTGTAAGGACAAAAACTATTTAAAGATATCATCTTGGACTGAGGGGACTTATGTTAATTTTTCACATTTTATTAGTTGCAGTCATAGCAAATTATGGAGCAAATTATTCTTAGGAACAGAAACAGAAAATCCATAAAGAAATCTTGTGGTGGAAGAAGAATTTTTACTTAGGTAAAAGGTAGCAGTACGTTCAGGTAAAATTAAGTCCACTGAAAAGTACAAAAGTATTGTCAGTGTGATATTTGTGATTATTACACAGTAGATACATGACTGTAGCATTTTATGTTGTAGCTGGTCAATTACAGCTATTTTTAACAAAAAGTAATCTATAACAATGCATCATATTTTATGAACTGATCATATATTTTGTATGTAAAGCCTTGATCTGGAATGTAACTAGTAGCTGTCAGATAAACGTAGTAAAAAGTTATTTCCCTGTGAAATGTAGTGGATGTAGAAAGTTGCATAACGTTGATGTACTCGAGTACAAGTTGCTCAAATTTGTACTTTGTTCCATTCTGCCACTGAAGAAATCCTATTTTGGTAAGGGCTAAAGCACCCAGTGTGAAAAACAAAACATCTTTTTGGCTTCAAATGCAATTCAGATTACCCAAGGCCATGTGGAAATCTAACATCTTTCAACCTTTTAGTGCTATTCATCTTATACACTGATACTACTGCATGCATGTCAGAGCTCAAATACATTTTTTTTTTATTCAAAATACTTTGGGACACTTCCACAGGTTAATGTCCATTAACATGAAAACAGTAAAATACAAACTTGACCAACGTTTCCTCCCCGATGCACAAAGCGAGAAAAAACGCTGCTGCTATGTAGAAAGGCGAGAACTCATCATATGATGTACTGTACATCTTGATGCTCTCATTGCAGTGAGCCCATTTAGAGCCTAAAGGCTGTGAACACTATGTTTTGAAAATGAAAACGTAAAACCTTTGCTAAGCTAAGACTTAAGACAACACAGACTATGTTCCCAGAGTAAAAGTTAAATTGCTTAGACCACTAACCAGTGTCAATCACGGAGATTCACTGTATTTTAACAGAAGCCTTTGTTCCCCCTAAAAAAAGAGATCTGGCTTTAGTGCAAATTCAAATTACACTACCAATTATGTATTCTGATAACAGATCTGAACACACTATTCTGCCTGTGATTGTCATTGTAACTGAAATTACAATCCAGGCTTTTCTTAAACACCCAAAGTCAGCCTGGACGTTAAGCACAGGAGCCGTGGAGAGCTCCGGCCACCTTTCTGAAAGGCAATAACGGTTTCTATTTTCATACGTCCCCAACGCTGTGCCGTCTCACTCTGGTTTCATCATAGGTTTAATATCGTCGTCTTCGTCGTCTGTGTCAAAAAATTCATCCTCAAAAAAAGATCCTCCAAAGCCATATTCCTGTGCGTGGACAGACACCTCATTTGACATCAAGTGAGGTGACCCTTCGATGAAATCAGCAAATCTGTTAAAGTGACAATATGAGTGTTTTAGTCATCATACAAAGCATGTACTAGTATTTAGGAGTAACTACACATTTGCTTATATTTACAATTTTAGGAAAAGGGGGTGGGGATCAAATAACGTTAAATTACTTTATCTCTGGAATATAAATGTATGACAACAGAAATGTTCCATTTTAGATTATTTTGATATCTGAATTAATTATATTTGTACAGTTTTACTACACTGAATCAAAGTACATTTAATGTGGCTTTTTGTGGACACTTGATCAACAGAAAAACACCCTTCTTGTCAAAGTGAAAAGATTAATTATCAATCAATTATTTACAAATACAAAATACTTGTTTGCATAAGTATTCACACACTTTAACATGATACACCTACCATCACTGTTGCAGCTATTTCATTATAGAAGTCACATGATTAGTTAAAGGGAGAACACCTGTGTGTACTAGTCAGTGGGTTTCAGTTGACTGTGGCATGAATCAACCTGTACTGTACCTGGAAGGTCTAACTCATGGTGAATCATTTTATTTTACTCATTGTCAAAAAAGCCACATTTTTTTAAAATTGTGACGCAATAAAACATGAAAACTTCCAAGGAGAGCAAATACTTTTTAAAGCCACTGTATTGATTCATAATAACATTATCTATTCATGGCAATACACCACTGACTTGTTAACCAGTCTCAAATGTAAATTTACATGCAAATTAAGTCTTTTTTTTTTTTTTGTTAAACCAAGGCTCGGACTGAACTTAAATCATGCATTAATGAGTGTGTTTTAAGAACTGCTATACCTTTTCGGGGACTGAAGTCTGGACACTGCCTTCCACGGGCTGAACTCTGGGCTGTTACAGTACTTCCTCAGCTCCTCAAGTGCATGCCGAGTCTCTTCCTCCCCCTGCTTTATATACTCCTCCTCAGTCAACAAGCGCCGTGGCTCTGGCTTCCAGTGAACATACCGTTTTATTTTCCTGCACAACACAGCAAGCGCTCAATAAAAATGATAATAAATGAATATGACTACTGGTTCCAAAGGGAAAATGGAATAAAACATTTACTTTTATATCACTGCTTTAAGCATTAGCAGTTATATAGCAGAAATAAGCAGACATGATGCAAGACTTTCCAGAGAACAAATGCCTCTTAAATTATAGTAGAGATTATGAAACAATTCAGTGCAGTATCAAAGGCTTGTACATACAATAACAAAGAGTGGTCTTGTTGATGAATATGTGACATTCTTGTTTACAACCATAGAGCTACATTACACTGCATGACAAAACAGGAACACCACATGAACTGTTTTAAAGTGGATTTTCAGGTTAATATAGTACTGTACTCTTGCACCACCTTCTGTCAGCATTGTAAACACCCACCTCCATGCAACAACTGCCAGAGAGACTGGATACTCCAGAGTTTTGGAGAACAAAGCTGCCACGATGATGGCGAAGGCAACTTGCTGAATCTGAATTCCTAAATAAACCAAGAGCAGGCCAAATAGCTGCAGCGTCCACGACAAGATGTTAATGCTCTTCTCATCCACCAGAGGACCGTAACGGTAACACACAGCAAAACTGATGAATCCCACCACTGCTACATAACCTGACAAAAAATATTGACATAAAGTGTTTAAGAAGAACTCTAGGCCTGCATGCTGAATTTGTAAAATGATTTACAGTGTTAACTCTGTAAAAATTCTGGTTTGGACATGTTTTTCTGGCCTGCTGCCCATCACACACACACACACACACACACACACACACACGAAACTCGAAAAATTAGAATATCGTGCAAAAGTTCATTTATTTTCAGTAATTCAACTTAAAAGGTGAAACTAATATGTTATATAGACTCATTACATGCAAAGTGAGATATTTCAAGCCTTTATTTGATATAATTTCAATGATTATGGCTTACAGCTTATGAAAACCCCAAATTCAAAATCTCAGAAAACTAGAATATTGTGGAAAGGTTCAGTATTGTAGGCTCAAAGTGTCACACTCTAATCAGCTAATTAATCCAACACACCTGCAAAGGGTTCCTGAGCCTTTAATTGGTCTCTCAGTCTGGTTCAGTGGAATTCACAATCATGGGGAAGACTGCTGACCTGACAGTTGTGCAGAAAACCATCATTGACACCCTCCACAAGGAGGGAAAGCCTGAAAAGGTATCTATGAAGATTCTCAGTCATCCAGGCCTTCATTTTAAAGGTAATTGCAAAAGAAGTTGGATGTTCTCAAAGTGCTGTATCAAGGCACATTAATAGAAAGTTAAGTGGAAGGGAAAAGTTTGGAAGAAAAGGAAGTGCACAAGCAGCAGGGATGACCGTAGCCTGGAGAGGATTGTCAGGAAAAGGCCATTCAAATGTGTGTGGGGGAGCTTCACAAGGAGTGGACTGAGGCTGGAGTTACTGCATCAAGAGTCACACAGACGGGTCCTGGACATGGGCTTCAAATGTTGTATTCCTCTTGTCAAGCCGCTCCTGCACAACAAACAACGTCAGAATCGTCTTAACTGGGCTAAGGAAAAAAAGAACTGGTCTGTTTCTCAGTGGTCCAAAGTCCTCTTTTCTGATGAGGAGCAAATTTTACATCTCATTAGGAAACCAAGGTCCCAGAGTCTGGAGGAAGAATGGCGAGGCACAATCCAAGATGCTTGAAGTCCAGTGTGAAGTTTCCAGTCTGTGTTGGTTTGGGGAGCCATGTCATCTGCTGGTGTTGGTCCACTGTGCTTTATTAACTCCAGAGTCAGCGCAGCCGTCTACCAGGACATTTTAGAGCACTTTATGCTTCCTTCAGTAGACAACCTTTAGGGAGATGCTGACTTCATTTTCCAGCAGGACTTGGCACCTGCACACACTGCCAAAAGTACCAAAACCTGGTTCAATGACCATGGGATTACTGTGCTTGATTGGCCAGCAAACTCGCTGAAGGCCGCTATTGAAGCATCCTGGTCTTCCACACCACCTCAGCAGTGCCACAGGCTGATAGCATCCGTGCCACGCTGCATTGAGGCAGTAATTCATGCAAAAGGGGCCCAAACCAAGTACTGAGTACATATGCATGATACTTTTCAGAGGGCTGACATTTCTGTATTTAAAATGCTTTTTTTTTTTTTTTTCTTGATTTAATGTAATATTCTGATTTTCTGAGATTTTGAATTTGGGTTTTCATAAGCTGTAATTATATCAAAGGCTTGAAATATCTCACTTTGCATGTAATGAGTCTATATAATATTAGTTTCACGTTTTAAGTTGAATTACTGAAATAAATGAACTTTTGCACGATATTCTAATTTTGAGTTTCTCGTGTGTGTGTGTGTGTGTGTGTATATACATACTCTAATAAATATATATACACACACGCTAATATTAAAATATATACACACATATATATAGTATTTTGATCCTAGGTGATTGAAAAGCACATGCTGTATTATAAATAGACTGCAAGCATGCATAATGAAGTAGAGCCCAACCGATACTGATTGATATGAGGATTTTAAAATCCAATATTCTTTTTTCCTTTTCAAAAACAAACTAAGATTAACATTTGTTATGTAATTATGAGACCTCACCAAGATAACGTGACATAATGCAGTTTAAAAATAAACTTCTTTTATTATTATAAAAAGCACTCTGAACAAAAGTACAGTTGATTATGTCCACTGGTTGCTGTGTTTTGTGGTGGATTTTTGGCTTCCAAATGTGTGTTGTCAACAGGGGAGTTGCAGAGTGCCCTCTGCTGCACAAACTATGCAACAACAACAAGATTGAATGATTTGCCTTCAGTCTCTTCATTTCGTCATTTATCGGCTCTTATAAACACAGATACCAATTTATCTGCTCATATCAGCCAATATCAGCACACCAATTTATCAGTCGGGCTCTATAATGAAGCATTACATACTACAGAAAACAAAGGCACTGACTCGTCATTGTGCCTTGAGGTTGTAGTCAGGAGACTAATCTGTTTTGATAACTTTAACAGATGCTCGTTCACTTAAAAAGGTGATTCATATTAAAAGTCTCAAGGTGACAAATATAGGGGATGCTAACTTACACGCTCAGTTGTCTATAATGATCTGTTTAATAAGAGTCTTGCTTTGGTCTGATGTTACCAATTCCAGAGAGTCACTTTTTATATAAAGTTTGTGATAATGAAGGGTCTGTACCTAATGCCACGTGCCAGTGTTCTTGCAGAATTTTGTTGAGGTTCCTGCAGACAAGCTGGATGGCGTAAAGAGAAAATGACCAACCGCCAACAATCAGCACATAAAAAGGGCTTTTCTGTGGGAACAACAAACACAAAGGGTACAATAACTAAGTATGAGACAAAAGTGTTTTAACCTATAAAATCTGGGATATTTGAGGATAATGAAATACCTTACCTTTGGCAAAAAGCGTGCCAAAATGAAAAAGAGGATGATGAGAGAGGCGATCATGCCTGTGCTCATCCCAGCAGAGTAGAAGAAGACTTGACTCCTTCATGTAAGGGAGAAAAATTGTTAGTAGAATATCATAATCCTGTTGAATCCTAACAGTGGCACATAAGTAAGAAAAATTACCTGCTGAGTGAGTCTGCACAGATGAACAACAACACTCCAGCAAGGAATACCAAAAACAAATAGATATCAAACTCTGCAAGAAAAAGAAGAACAATGTGTTAGCCATGTAATAGCATGTCACTAACAAGCATATTAATTGTGTTAATCTGTTGTCCACTTACTACGCATGGGCTTGACAGTGTACTGAGTTTGATCAGCAGGCTCGATCTTGAAGCACGTCTTTTTGCTGAACAGACCGATATTAATTGTGGTTTCATTGTGCCGCTCACGTAAAAAGCTCTGGAACCAGCCCCAGACACTGAAGCGCTCCAGCTCCTGCAGCTCCTCCTCACCTTCCACAGTTTCCACATTAAACACGTTTGAACTCCACACTTTGACCTGTCAGTAATCTTCAGTTAATATGGACCTAATCAACTGTGGGTTACCATAAGGAATTGTTCAAAATTAAATGCTGTAAATTGAATGCAGAGGCTTCTGTGTTTTCTTGATGTCACAGATCACAACATACAGAATATGTAAGCTTTAAAGCACATTTGCATATTTGTTTGAATTTGACCCCAAGATACCCAGACTTTCTTGAACATTATCTAATTATTTTATGATTGAGAAAGTGCATTACACATGAACAGTTCTGTATTTGGCTGGGCACCATCATGTAACTTACCTGAATTCTTGTCCATGTTTGCCTCCATGTTGGCACAACAGAGTTCTTGTAACAGAACCTGCTGGACCCTGACATGGCATACTCCTGTCCATCCCGGAGATCAATTATTGAATGTTTGTTTCCTGGGTGTGATAAGCAGAGGCATGTATGTACTGTAATACTAAGACTGCATCACATATATTTATCAGTTGGCCAGTTTACTGTATGAGAAACCTGTGACATGGACAACAAATGTAAAATATGTCCGTTATCTTAAAAAGCACTCACTTAAGTCATGTATTTGAAGGATAATGCTGACTGTTATTATGTATTTGTGTATTGTCCATAAATCATATGAAAAGACCAAAACTAACAACACTGCATTGGTCTGTCCCTCAGAACCTATTGACTTCCCTTCTCTTTCTATGGCACCCATTGATTCCTACTTAAAATAGAAACCTGTTTTTTTTCTTGGCGACATATAGTTCATTTCTAAAAAGTCTTGGTAATGTCTTGAAACAGATGGGCAATGTAGTTCTTTGACCTAGAGAATTGTTTTGCATTGTTAGCCTGTATTGTTTTATATTTCCTTGTACATAACAGCTGAATGTGTGTATATATTTCTGTGCATTCATTTATTTATCTTAAATTTATCCATATGTTTATTAACAGGAGCCATACAGATAAACGTTGTTGCATACAGATAAGCTGTGCAACATCTGTAATGTATATCTAGGGAGTCAAGCTGCAGTTCTTGTCCCTAGTTAGGCTTTTAAATCTAGATTAAAACAGGCAACAGTTTGTTTTCTAGCTGCACATCTAACGTTACTTGGATTTTTAATTTTTTGGCCTATTTTGTGTCTGACACCGACAAAGTAACTTACAACCTCAAAACGTTAAAGCTCAGTCGATTCATCAACTCTCTGACAGTCCCAACAACATACCACATTATAAGCTTATACGAATAAATAAATGAATAACGTTATTACACCACGGTTGTTACCTTCATACTGAGCTTCGTATTTATTAAACAGGTTTAGTGACGGCCTGCTTTTATAATTATGGTGGTTAAGTTAAAAATGACCTGAGGGTGGGGCGCGGCTACAACAGCAAAATACATAATAAAATGTATTTAAATGTCTCCGTTATACAAATACAGACTCAGAGAATAGGCAGTAATTATCGCGCTATGAGAATAAGTGACACAAAGGCACAGCATCAATTTACTCCTGTAACGTAACGTTAACATACAGTTTCAAACACCAAACACAAGCTAACATGATTTAGCCATGAGCAGTGATACACTTTTAAAATACGTATCATATTAATTAAGGTCTTTGTTATTGATGCGTAACGCTGCTACTTACCCGTATCTTGGTGTGAGGTTTGAGGTAAAGCTGTAAGCAGCACCATGAAGAATATGAATTTAGCATTTGTAGAAAAGAAACCGTTTATCATTTTCATGCATCCCGCCATGATGATAGCACCATATCCCTCCTCCTATCTTTGGCCCCGCCCCTTCCTCCTTCTTCTTCTTCTTCTTCTTTGTTACGTTTTATGGCGGGTGGCACCCAGCGTTAAGGTGCATTACCGCCACCTACTATGTTGGAGTGTGGACCAGAGTTTCTATCCCTTGATAAATAAATAAAATGAAATAAACGAAACACAACAAAACACAACACAACAAAGCAAAACAAAAACATAAAAATGAAAGAAGAATGAATTAATGAAATGAAATACTGAATTATTTCACTGGTCACTAAACTCTATTGATCAATCCAGTTTCTTTCAAATAATGAAATAGTTTCCCTACCTCAATGTCCAAGCTGTCTGATTTCCCTCCTTAATGTTTCTCGTTCTCAAGAGAATTTTTCACAGTGAAGAATTACATGTTCTACTGATTCCTCTATTTGACACACATAATGTTCACATAATCCTGAAGGGTGCTTGTTTATTAAGTGCAGTGTTTTATTAAGTCTAGTATGCCCTACCCTCAGCATTGTCAAGATATTCTCCTCTTTATTGTTTTTAGATTCCTGTGCCCACATCCTACTGTAGTATATAGAGATGTCGCCCTGTATTTCCTGTATCCCAGCTGTTCTGCCACTCTTTAATGATGTTTCTTTTTGATTATTCCTTTGGCTTCAGATTTACTGAGTGGTACGCACAAGATCTCCTCATGTTTCAGAGCCTGTTTTGCTAATGCATCCACACCTTCATTTCCCTTCATCCCTCTGTGAGCTGGTGTACACATAAATGTTATCAGCATGTTCATATTTTTAATTCTGTACAACGTTTCATAAATCTCATTAACCATGTCTTGCCTGCTGTGAGATGTAAATGACTGCAGTGACATTAATGCAGAGCAGGAGTCTGTACAAAGAATAACTTTGTAATTCTTCTATCCGCTGTAATGCTGTTACAATTGCCAACATCTCGACTGTATATACAGATAAATGATCTGATGTCCTTCTTTTAACAGAAGCCCCTTCCTCCTCCGGCAGCTCGGTTGAGTTACAAGCTGTGCAGCTAATCACAAGCTCACAATAGATGTTGTCATCATCGGTGTGCGTTCAAGGTTCAACGTTTCCACGGCTGTATTCGAAACAGCCTGCCATACTAGTAGTACGCACACTAGTATACAATCATAACTTCAGTCCTCATAGATACTTTATTAATAAAGAGGGAATAATAAAGACATCTTGTAGAAAAATCACTGTTTTATCGCTCATGGTTTGCTAGTTGGACAACTCTTAAATACGTATGGTTTGTTACTATCATATTCAGAATTCCATCACACCCAAAGAATATGCCATTGTTTTTTATGCTAATCCTGCATGTCCTCTTCAATTTTTGAGAAATTAGTTTATTTCACAGACGAAAACATTGTTTCTAATATTTTTTTTTATAGAAGGAATTAATATTGAGAATAAGTCCTGCAGTAACAAACATATAAGGAATGCTTTGGACTATACCACACTCTCTGCAGCAAAGTTCTTTTGGTCTTCTATTGTGAGTGATTTACAGTGGGAAAAGGCATGTGCTATTCTTAACAAATATTGTATTAATATCAAAGAAGTGAACTTTAAGATTTTGCATCATATTTACCCCGTCAAAGAAGTGTTGCAAAGATTGATTATAACTGTGATTTTTGCAATTTAGAAAGAGAAACTATATTTGATCTTTTTTACCACTGTGAACATACAAATGTATTCTGGAAAGCTCTGGAACATTTTATTAACAGAAAAACGGGTAAGACTATATTAATTAATGTATTTGATGTCATGTTATATTTTGTACTTCATGGTCCAGACAATATTAACTATATTGTGCAGCTCCACGTCATACTTGGAAAATTTCACATGCTCAAATCAAAATGGACTGGATCCAAACCCTGATACAATCGATTTACAGTTGAACTGAAACACTACTGCACCTCAATAGAACTCTTAAAAAATAAAAAAAAAGCAATAAAATGTCTTAATATAATATAAGAGCTCAATTTAATTTGAGCTTCTGGCAATCTAAAATGTAATTGATAATCTGTGTATTTTGTATTTTTGTTACTGTAATGATCAATAAAATAAAAAATATATACTAGTAGTACATAATGATTTGGCCTAAATGTAGTATGCTGCAGTTGCCAGTATTATGCAGTAGGTAGTTCAGAATACAGCCTTCTTCTTCTTCATGCTTATTGGCTTTTGGCTAACCAGCTTCATTCAACTCTACAAGTGGACAGTTTACATATGGCTAGACCAAACTTTACACTCTGTCAGGAGAAATCATAAGATATTTGAGCAATATTGCGATAATATAAAGACTGAAATTGATTAATTAAATTGATTATTTTATAATTGATCCTTAGAGAACAGCCCATGCACCTATTTGTGGAACTTTAACCTTTGACATCAGAATCAGCTTTATTGGCCAGGTATGTGACACATAATTTTATAGAAATATACATACAGTTAACAGAGCACCTAACAGAGGGGAGAAGTTGGAGTGTGATGAGTCTGGTCTGCAGTGATGTTTCCCGCCCATTTCCAGGTTCTGAATGGAGGACAGGTTAACTGGTTGACACCAGTGATTTTTTTTTGCAGGTCTGACAGTCTGTTGTAGTCTTTTTCTATTTTTTTTTTTGGCTGATCCAAACCAATGTTGGATATGCAGAGACCATCCTCTGCTGGGCCTTTGATGATTGTGTTGATGTTGGAAACTCACTTTAGGTCCTAGGAGATCGTGGATCCCAGAAACCTGATGGTTTTCTATGTGTTTCCACAGCAGACACTGCAGCAGAGTATGGTCATAAGGGGTGGTGTTGGGGTGCCCCTCCTGATTTCCACAGTCATCTCCACAGTTTTGAGCATGTACAAAATGGTAAAGCAGGGCAGTAGCTACCATTGAGGACATGTCCTTCATAACATTCTGAATTTGGGTTTAATGACATGAAGGAGTTAAATTATACAGTTACACACATATTTCTCATTTAGGCAGATGTTTTTTGGGGGGGTCAAAATGTCGATGAAAAATGAAGTTCAAGTTCATGTATTTTGGATTGATTTTCATGAAATCTGGCATTCATGGCCCCCTCAGGATTACAGTAACAATTGTGACACCCTGACTTTTCATATATCGCCATCATCAAGTCAAAATTTAAATATATTCAATATTTGGTTTATGACTTAATACCTGCAAAACTAATGACATTCCCATAAGCCTTTAAATGTTAGCATGCTAACACGCTAAACTAAGATCATGAATGTGGTAAAAAAAAAGAAAAACACTGTTAAATATCAGCATGTACCATTGTTATTGTGGACATAGTATAGCTTCACAGAGCTGCTAGCCCTGACCTACAGGAACTGCATTTGGCCAAATGGCTGAACCACATGACACTGCATTTCCGTGGTGTTATCATTGTGGGCCAACAGCTTAGTGAAACAATCAGATCTGTCTGCTCCAGTAATGCAGTCAAAGGTACTGTATAACAGATTAGAATTAATTAGAGTTCAGAGTGGTGAAAGTTAAAATGAACCCCTCTGCTAAATGATGTGCTAAGTAACTTACCATCAATAACACATGCTAAAACCAGACAAACCCATAAAAATGCACATGTATATATCTGCTAACATTGTTCTTCCATTCCATATATATATATTTCCACATTTATTTATGTCAACTTTTGTCTACATGTAGCACCTTATCACCACAGCATATTCCTCGTATGTGTAAAACACTACTTGGCAATAAAGCTCCTTCTGATTCTTCTTCTTCTGATTCAAATGGAAAGGGAAAAAACAAATTCAGTTCCTAAGCAAAATTAAAGTTACCTACCCTGTGAAATTTAACACTAAACCAGGTCATACTGATATTATCAGTCTATTATGGTCTGCTCAGGGATGAGGATCACTCAGGTGTTTGTTTTTTGATACGCTTGAGGTACAATCACAGGTTAGAGTGAGAGAAACTGAGGTCAACAATTAATATTCATCTTGACAACATTAACGTGAGAAAGACATGCAGCATGAGTCAGAGGTCCCTATAGATGTTATGGAGAATATAATCAAGAATTAGAGGGATAACACTGCTAACAAACCAATTATTAATATAAACTTGTTTACACCAAAAAAATGTGAGCTTTCAATATCGAATTCTTCCATTGCATTCACATTGTCCACTTTGACCAACAAGTTCACTCTGTCCAGTCATTCTGGGCCATAACATACATAACATTACATTTAATTTAGCTGACGCTTTTATCCAAAGCGACTTACAGTTGCTATACATGTCAGAGGTCACACGCAACTAGGGGTTAAGTGTCTTGCGTGTCTTATCACGGCACAACAGTAATGATATGATACTGTTCAGAGTGTCATCTGAAAAATATTGCTCAAGGAGATAGTTATTCAGCAGTTTGAGGATGTTTCTCAGTGTGTAATGAGGAAATTAGTTTTTTGACCAGCAAACCTTTGACACAATGATTAATTTCCTATGACTACAACAAAATGTACATGTCATCAATAGGTTTGCAAATGGACAGGGACATGTCTCTATATTATGGAATGACAGAACTGTCCTTTTTTAACAAATTCATCTCACTTTACAGTCATAGTCGTTGTTTGTAATATATCATTTTAGACATCCTGTTATCTGCTCTTTATTGTGTCATTGCAGGAAGTAACCTTCCTTTTGCCATTTGTTTTTTTATTTTGTCTTAATTTCCTACCAAAAGCAGTGAAACATATTAAACATATGGGTGTTAAATGATTGTTAACAATTGTCTAAAACAATATGTGATATATTGTTAGATACGCTATGGATTAATCTACTAAACAGTATGTAAAGGGGTTACAAATAGCTCAACCAGCTACAACATCTAAATTCTGCTTACATGTTAATGTAACTGTAATGATAGTTAATGATTTTACTTAAGTGATTTTGAATGCAGGACTTTACAATATATTGGACATGGCCAGATTAACCCCTTTATTAAAGTAAAGTCAG